CGCCGACAGCAGCACACACAACGCCACAGCATCCACATCCACGCCAAACGTCGCCAATGCAGCCCTTGCATAGAATGTTGTGGATCTTAGCAGGAAAAGCCGCCCTCGTTCGCCTAACATGGCACGTTATCAGTTGCGTTCGATTTCGCAAGAGAAGGAATTTTATTTTGTCTTTTACTGTGGTTTTGCCCGTCTTACAGGTCATTTTTAGTCTGTATCAAAAGTATTGATCAAATGCTAGTAATGTTTTGGCCAATAGGATGCGTTTACCAAGGATAATAAAGGGTCGGATTGAGCCTATAACAATTTGGTGGTGATAGGGTTAATAAGCTCAACAGCTCCAGGAAATTTGTCGTTGCACACACTCTTAAACACTGGCTGCCGTAAGTAATTGTTCATGATCACTGTAGCACCAACGGTACGGTCCAACGGGCTGAAGCAGAATTCGCGCGACTGCACTATAAAGTTTAAGACGGAACAGCACACTAACCAACCGCAAGTCAAATCTCAGTCTGATTGCGCTTCGTTCAGCGCTTATCAATCACTACCCATTGGTGCATCGCTTCGCCTTGACCAGTACCATTTCCAACCACTGTGGCATCGACGGTGGAGCTCACATCGACATCGCTACCGCTTCTTCCCATACACGTAACACTTCAGGGCCAAAGGTCAAAAACTCCTTGACGTTGTTGTTCGAACCTCCGTTGAAGATGTCGTTGATGAAGTCCAATGCATACGGGACCTGCGCGTAGATTTCAGGAAAACCGTCACACTTTTCGGGGCTGCTACTCACGAAAAACCCATGACCACGTCGTTTACAAGAAGAGGGCCACCCGAGTCACCATCACAGGAATCCTTCCCTTTTCCCAAATCAGCACAAATCATGGAGTCTTCCAGGTTCACGGTGCTATCGTATAGTTTGGCACATTTCGCGTTTGGAATTATCTCGACATCCACAGCCTGAAGGGTGTCCACCGTTTTGCAGCTGAGAATCGTAGCCATCACGCCAGGTTTGTTGTCCGATTTGTTCGCAGCAGTCAAACGCGCTGGGTGGTGTCTTGTAGTATGGCCCGGGTAATTTGAAGCAACTTGAACACACACCAATGCGGGGGCCAACCCGCACGGAATGATAGCCGAATGTATTGATGTAGTTTGCACTTGGCAAATCTAGAAGTGAGCGATACCATGGGTCTGGCGTTGACCAGCCCGTTCTCGCTCAGTCACTGCCAGCCGCTCATTGCCAGAGCGACAGGCAGCACTGACTGTGGACATGCATGTATTCACTTCACATGAAAGATGCACTTGACCATACAAGTTCCTCATACAGTGCATGAGGACACTGGCCGTCCAAATGACTGCGAAGTCCTCAGCTGTCTAGCGTCGGACACTCCTTGGTTGTCACCCATTGTCTGCAGCGTTGCAGCTGACAGACACATTCGGGTGACACGTCGAGCAGCTGAGGTGAAACCAAGCTGGAAATACCAGCCAACACTACACAGCCCCCGAAGTTTGGTTTTGCCGGGTCTCATCGTACCGGTCACCGTCGCAACACACGCTCATCGAGCACTCGGTTGCCCTGGCCGCGGTCCCTACGATGACGAATTGATCGGCGTGGCTGACGACCGCGCGATATCCTCCCATCTTGCGTCGTAGCACTTGTTCAGCGACCTCGAGGACGTGGAGGCTTTGAGGCCTCTCCACCCAGGTGCGGCTCACTGTCCTTGTCCGCAGCCTGCCCCGAACTTGAGTATATCTCGGTGTGAAGACCAACTTCAGCTGATAAACCATTTCCCTGCAGGAGCTTGGCGTTCAACGGCGCAGGAGTGACCGACCCTGGCCGACTTGTTCTGTCTCCGCTTGCTCCTGCTCACGGATCGTCGTTGTCGCTTGCTTCCGGCTTGGCGAGTCCGTACCTGCCCTGCGTCACCCTGAGGCCTACGCATGTCGCCGGTCGCCGACATTTGTTCAAAGCCCACACTTGGCCACACGTTCAGCACGCTCTGCTGCTCTCCGCGCCCCACTTCGTGTCCTTGGGCTACTCGTAGCCGTTGCCAGCGCTTACAGAGCAACTGGTCACCGGCACTCGTAACGTACTTGTCTACCAATACTCGAATCTCCTTAGCCAGGTCCCCCATGGGCTCGAACGAGTCCTCAATGGGCTGCAAACGCTACCAACCGATCAGGATCTCAAAATCGTTGATGTCCTTGTTCCACCTGTGCCCTTTTAACTGCTCCACAGCTAAAACGATACCTTGTGAGGACACGTACTCCAAGAGCTCGTCCGTCACGTTCAGTCTATCGTCGGTGTAGAACTTGAGTCTCGATGCGTGAACGTCCAGCTCCTCGCCGGTCATCAAATGCTCCACACGAGACGAATGCGTATCGGCCCTTATAACACGATGTGGACCAATCCACATTACCTGCAACTTGTTGCCATGCTTCTCGTCCACTCTGGACCTGAGAAGATAGTCACCCACTGCGAAATTAACCAGGTTGTCACCGCGCTCACGCTTCTTGTTCAGGAGTCTCTGCTTCTGTCGCTGGTCGTCCACCGCACAGTGCATCGACTGGATACTGTCGCGAAGCTCCGATAGATATCCATCCATCTCAGCACTCGTAAAAATCGTCTGCAACCGACGACTCTCTGGTAGGTAGAACTCGTCCAGTGGAGTCGGGCGTTCTAGCCCTGTGAAGAACTCCAACGGTGAGTGGTTGCCTAACGAAGGCACCGCAGTGTGATTCAAGTTGGACTGCACGAGTGGCACAAGGTACACCCAGTCCTTGTAGCTCACTCGGTACTCCAGGATCATAGCACGGATGACCTGAAGCACGTCCCAATTGACACGTTCGATCGAACCGTTCACCCACGGGCTGTGTGCGGGGTGAAAGTCTGTTGTGTGCGTAGCCTTCTACTCAGCTCCGCCACGATTTCACTCTTGAAATGCGAACCTTGCTCGGATACCCACATGGGCGGTATTCCTGGAGTACCACGCTAATAGCGCCTCAACCACCACTTGACTTTCCGCCGAGTCTGCCACCACTAACTCGCAATAGTGAGTGGCGTGGTCCTTGAGCACTAGAAGGTAGTTGCTGGATCCATAATTCGGGCCCAAATATAAGTAATCAAAATGGAGAACCTTGTCACGTTGTCTGCAGTCGATCAATGGGATAATCTTTCCCCTCTGAAATGCAGACAAAGCAAACAATTGTTCACAAAGTCCGGGACTGTCTGACGGAGGCGATCGATTGTGAATAGGCGTTGTAGATGAGCGCCCATAGCTGTTGGCCTCGATGGCCTTGGGATCCGCCGTGTGCTACTACGCAGAGCCTCTCTATGAGCTCAGTAGCCTATGCAGGAACCCAGATACGGTTGTCGACGGCGAGGACACCTTCGTCCGTGCGCACGGCACCGGCCGGCGACGGGTACTTGCCCTGCGTCGTCTGGATCTTTTCGAACGTTGGCCACACGAAACTGTCGGCGTCGAGCGGTCGGAGCTCGGGCCGTTGTGTCTGGTTCCGCGGTCGTCGGTGCAGGATAGTCTTGAGCCGCTTCACAGTGACCTTTTGGCACGTGGTTGCCGGTCCACCGTGAAGCCATGTCTGTCCAGACGTTGTCCGGGCCCGGGATGTGTTCCACAATATACGTAAAACCCATGAGCTTCATAGCCCATCTCAGTAACTTGCCCTTCACATGCTTCTTGACACTCTCGTCTGGTGTGAACACGTGCACCAGGTTACGATGGTCACAGAACATACGGAAGGCCTTGGATCTGAGAAGGTGGTAGTCGAGCTTTTTGCAAGCAATGACTATTGGCAGTGCCTCTTTCTCGATGACTGTCCAGTCGAGCTGGCTACCGGTGAAGGTACCGCTCATGCACGCCAGGAGCTTGTGGCTCTGCTGCTGCACTGGAATCTTCGAGTTGTAGTCCGTCACCTGCCTGACGATCACCGCCCAACCGATGTCGCTGGCGTTGATGAACAGAAAGGTTGTGGCTTCGTCGTCGGTGAACGCGAGAGTGGCTGCACTTGCCAACATTTCCTTCACATGGTCGTATGCATTGCACTCCTCCTGCGTGAACTCTATCTTGATAGCAGCCGCGGCGCGTTTTGTCCGCTTCGTGTTGGCCAGTTCAGCGTCAAGACGACGTTGCAGGGGTGCAACTTGACGGGCGAAATCCACGATGCTTTCACGCATCCAGTTGATCGCACAGACGAACTGTTGTAGTTCGCCTGCTGTTGTAGGGTAGCGCATGGCGCGGAGTGTGTCGGTCCGCTCGGGGTTGTGCCTAACTCCGCCGCCGTTGATGAGGCGACCGCACCATTGACTTCAGTCTGGTATAAGCATGTCTTCTTCGCGCTCAGCCAACTTGAAAGAGCTTCGTTATCGACAGAGTTGGTTGGGAGAACGAATGAATCGACTGGGTCTGAATGGGTAAAAAGAAATATGAGCTTGGGGGAGAGATGCACAGTCCAAACAACGACGTGCTCATCATCACTACCGCCATGGAGCCGGTGATACATGTATATGTATTATCTCAAACTAAAGTCGTTCCTTTTTTCTATGGTTTCGGTCACACACCTCGATTACAATGTATGGTACGGTAGGTACCATGGGTACCTAATAAAAAGCGTTTTTTTTTTCAACCCATATCTTATGCTTCCACGTGGTAGGCTCCCGATTGTCGGCAAAGCGTAATATGATAAATAATTTTAATCTAGACAGGGTTGTTTTGTTTATTTTAATTTAAAAAAAGCATGTGCCCGTATCTCCCCATGACTTGACAAAGATTTGTGGTTGACCATGGGTAAGGCATCTCTTTAGTGTATCAGAGTCCACATCACAGTTATCTCGTGAAGCGCCTATTTACCGTACGATACTGATCCGTGCTGTCGTCTGTTGTGCTGATGCACGCAAGATACCACATAATCATCAAAAATTAATGAGACTTCGTCGTGGCTAATACTATTTCGAGCTTGCAATTCCGGATAATTGAGGATTTTGTGTTCGCAAACCTGTGCAGAAAGTACTAGTTCGTATTGCATCTAGTTTCGACCATCTACGTTATTTGATGTTATTATACCAGCGACCTACATGAACCAGCTGCACGACAGAACTTTTTCGAAAGCGAGATCGTATTTGGGATAGTATCACCAGCTTTAAGGTAGCAACGATGAGAGTTTTGTCGTCCGTAGGGTCTTTTAAAAGCTAGTTGATTGTGAGACTGTTGCTATTAAAACTACGGTGAAGAATACGTTGATCGGCTAGTAGATGGACTTGTATGGTGTGTGAATGGTGTTTGGTCGCGGAGACACGAATTGGCTTTATTAAGTTGGATACGCCATCGAAGATCGAGCCAATGCATTTAGCTGCTGCACACACACCTAACCGCAAACCAGGTTCGACTCTGGGGTGGTTGTTTGTCGAGGCAAGCCAAATCAATGAAGCAGCGTACTTAGTAACACGAGTACCATAAGAAAAAAAATTATACAGTAAAAAATAAAGTATAATTAATTAAATTTTAAAACTGGTTAGAAACGTTTCCAATTCGATTTCTACGAAAGATTTGCATCTGTCACTTCAACCGCTTCCATGGTGCTCTCCAGCCCTCTCTTCTCGTCTTGCCCCGGCCGAGGGGCGCCAGAAGCTTTCGCAGCACTCACCCAGTCTTGGGTGGCGGTCGTCAGCAACATGGAGTCACTCACCCCCGAATTACTGGACTCGTCCAGTCCAAATAGCGAAAACTACTCGACAGAAGACGACGATATGTTCTGGGCATTGGTGCACCAAGGCTATTGCGCCAAATTCGACGAACCTGATAAAGCTGAAGATATGCAGACGCTCCGCCTCCAGTGGGAAACAGTTCGCTCAAGAGTGGCCGATTTTAATGAGATTCTAACGGAGATATGGCCGAATGAACCGGCCAAACATTTGAATACGTTGCCTAAACGCGACCGCCACAAACTACTGAAACAAGTGCTGGTTTTGTTTCAAGATCGGACGGGTGAACACTTTCAACACTTGGAAGTTTGGAATGTGTTGACTCAGCATGCTAAATGGGAGCGTGTACTCAAACCTTTGATATTACGAGAAAAGACTGCAAAGGCTCCTGTTACGGCTTCGAAAGTCGAGGAAGAGATACCAAACGACGAGACTATGAGCTGTGGAGAGCAACTGGCACCTGTTGGTCGAGATCTGGCGGTTGTAGTGGTGGAGGCTACTCCGGAAAGTAGTGGTGATTCTGAGGAAAAAGGAAAGAGACCTGCCAGTATTTCATTGACAACGCAGCCTTGGAGCTCGATAAAGAGGATTACAGGCGCCAAGCGACGAAAGATGATGCCCACGAGGGTGGAACAGCAGATTGATTCAATGGATGAAGAAGAGGAGCCTAGTCGTAAAAGCCCATTGGAGACGAACTGTGTGAACGCCGATTACGTAGAAATCGAAGAAATGAGTCGTGCAATTGGAAATGTTACGTGTGTGACGCCTGATCGCTCTGTCGAAACAACACAAGCTACAGAACATATTAACAAGCACGATTCTGGGAGTGATTCCGAAGCGACAAGCATTCTTTCAGCATCGAATCATGAAAACACAGGACGCTCAACGTACGTGGAGACTGGAGCATCTCCAGAACAAACTGAAGAGCCCACCCAGAGCGTAGCAGCTGCCTATTTAGCCCTGGCTTGGGCAAATGTTTCTTGCAGCTGGGCAGATATATCGCCACGGCTTGAAGAATCGAACGATTGGTTTTGGTTCCACGTCTCGAGTATCTATTTGGATTTTGTAGCGAAACCAGACTGCCACAGTGACATTAAGACTGTTTTGAAAAACTGTTGGCATGAGATTCGAACACAAATTGTAGTCTTTCACCATCTCTACGAAGAGTTGAAGGGTGACAATACTATTAGCCGGGCAGATCGCGAATCGACGGTTTCTCGCGCTCAGGAAGCCTATTGGGAGCAATGTGGCCATTGGTTTCAGTATCGCGCTGTGTGGGAATTCCTAGAACGTCACAGCGACTGGGAAGATGTGTTGAAACCATTACTGCTTGGCTTGGATAAACGCACTACGGCAAATGATGCTTGCTCTTCCGAATCAGCCGGAAACATTCCACACAAACTCACTGACGAAGAAATGAGTGGTGGCTCGGAAGAATCTGAGCCTCCAAGAGTGATATCAGACCGCGACCACCTCCACAGTGTTAATCCAAAAAACTGGCCACCTGAAACTTGGTTTGAAACCACGGAAAAGAAGAAAAACTCAACGATGTCGGCGGAGTGGTTAGAGTGGAACAAACACCTGCTGGAGATGCAAATAATGACGCGGAGCGAAGTTGGATTGAGCCCAGAAGCGTTGGAGTATCTTCGCTTGCGACGCCAACAAATTCTTCAAAGGACGCGGATGCAAATGCAGTTGAGCAAGTAGCACATCAGTGATAGTCTAGATGCGCTTGCTGTACTCCATGCACAGGTACAGTACATAAAATTATTGCCAGGAATGCCGGCGTACGTTTTAGCACATTTCTTGTTCAATTTGATTTCAACATCTATGGTGTACTGTATCTCTGTCTTGGTTTTATTTTTCAAGAGCCCCCAGTCGAGTGTCGTAGCCACCATGTCAGGCTTGTTGTCAGGGGCCAGTATGACCGCTGTATGGACTCTGGGTTAAAAACAAGAGAATGCTTTTAGCAAGTAAACTTTGATGTCCGTGCAACTGCTTAAAAAAAACAGAAATGGTCTCGAAAGGTAAATCGATCGCAAATGGAAAATTGAAGTTAGTCACGCTTGATCTCAGTATGTCCAACTGCCGGTTGCCTTTGTCAGTGATCCAAGCAACCAACTGCAGCATGCCGATGAACTTCACCACCCGTGTCTTCGACGACGCAGAGAAACTAGCACTGACCCAGGCATGGATCGCCACAGCAGAGGACTACGCAGCGAAAGCTTCGACAGCCTCGTTGAAGAGCGTGTTTGGCCGTCCCGGTGTTTTCTGGGACAAAGTGCGAGCCAACTACTCCCTGAACGTCCGAGTCAGGACGACAGCGGAGCTGCTTGCTCAGTGGCAGACGATGGTGCAGTCGATGGGTGAGTTCTTGAAGCTGTTCGAGCAGAAATACTTCGAATCTCGACAGGACTTCCACAACGACTGGGAGAGCGTCGGCCAAGCTTTCAAATGGGCGGCCGCTGAGTATAAAGCGAAGACGGGGGCGGAGTTTCGGGAGGTGAACGCGGCGTCCTTGCTTACTAATCACCAGAAGTGGTGGACAGTGTTGAAACCTCTTGTTAATCTCCAGCAAGACGCCACCGTGGAGGCCATTGACACAGACCAACCACAAGCAGCGAGTGGGACCGTGCACGTACGGAGCGAAGACGAGGAAAACCACGATATAGGTCGATGTGTGAGGCAGCGACTGAATACTGAGGCTCCCATTCTGCAAGGATCGAAGGTTGAAGTTCTTTTGTCTCCATTGGGATCGACAAGTTCGGGGTTTTCGCCATCGTCGGCCCAGTCGACACTACACAGACCCAGTCTATCGCTCTCGGAATGTCTAGAAATGCGAAAAGTAGAGGTCATGGAGCGTCAACTGGACCTGCAAATCATGACACAAAGCCAAGAAGGGCTCTCAGACGAAGCCGTAGAGTATCTTCGCTGGCAACGCCATCTTGTTCTCGCTAAGATGCGACGTGGTATTAACAAGGAGGAAGTCTAAGCTGATGAGAGACCACGCGAGTTTGGGGATATTTAATGCGCAATTCGTTGACTTTTTTGCACGTGTTTGATGCGGGGTTTTATGATTAACAATAATTGTTGGATCAATCAAATATTTTTCATTGCTGATTTTTCTTACTTTCTGGAATTTTTAACATGGATGTTTACCTATTCACTCAACTCCATTGCGTGTCATGCTGCGATAAAACGCGAGGTATTGCTCAAATTTCATTTACACGGGCGTCTGCTGGAGAATGTCCAGGTTACCATATGCATGAGCATTGGCCACCAATTTGGATAGAGGGATTTTGACAAGCTCGCCCTCATGCTTCAGCCTCTCAAAGTAATTCTGTGGTAGTACACCTGCCTTGAATAACTCGTCATTGCTTGCGCCGGCTTTGATCAATGAATCGATGCTCTTCTTTATTTCTCGATCTTCGATCGCGTTCTTGAATCGCGACCCAATAAATCCCAGAAATGTGCGCTCTTCGTCGGCAGCGGCAGCACCAGTCGTGCCATGACTTCACAGGAACCGCTCAGAGGACATATTATCGATTGGACGAACCACGTCCGTGGATGTGGTTCTCGATTGCTTGAGCTGACTTGAAGCGGTTCCCAGGAGATTGCGAGGAGGGAAGCAATACTTGCCTGAATGATGTAGTCCAACCGCATACTGAATCTGTCTTGAGCGTGTGTTCAAGCTGCTCAAAATTGCCAACCACTCACTTGGTAATTCTCGCTCGCCACTCAAGCTCAACTCGTGATGCAAACAAGGCATCTGTTACTATTCATTGTAGCTGCTATTCTAGCTGCTAGCGCAACGGGATCAGAAATCAAAAGCTCCCAGCAATCCAAGCTCCCCCGCCAAACGTCTTTGCGAGCTTACGCTTTAACCCGCAGTGAAGACAGCACGAACCGGTCCATCGCGACAACCGATCAGCACGATGAGAGAGGATTTTTCAAAAGATTTCGACTAATGATCAAACAAGCAAAGATCAAGGCCGCCGAGAAGCAGCGCGCTAGCGACCTGCAGCGGTTTCAAGATTGGTATGAAAAAGAGAAATTTGGCCCGGAGAAGGTTAAAGAGATACTATATTACTATGAGAATCTTCTCATTGCAGAACGAAAGGGAAAGATGAAGCAGCTTCAAAAGTGGCGGTGGCACAAAATGAGTCTTGATTATGAAGACTACTATTGGAAACGAGAGCGCGGGATCACTCCAGCTAACTAGCGGCTATTTCTGATGATGTAGTCTTGGTTTCGGAGCCCACCAAGCCGATTGAATAGATCTGTCATCGTTGTCTCCACCGCCATGACTTCGGTTATGCTCAATACTTGATAATAAGTATGTTTTATCATTTAAAAAAAATGTTGACTAAAGTGGGGCACCAAATGGATCAAAACCTAGAATTGGAAACCTGAAGTCACCTCGGAAGTTAAAGGTAACTCGCATTTGGGGTTTCTTACTCGACGAGTACATTGAAACCACAGGAACCAGTCGATACGCTGGATTCGTCACAGCGATTCCAAAGCTGCTAGGAACATCAGCAGTATCGGACCCGTGCAATCCTGTGATCCCAACATGATTGTTCGCTGTACGACGCAGCGGCAAGGTGAGGTCCCCATTCAGATAAAACCGCAATTGAGGCACAGCCACGTCTTGGTCAATCGTACAGCCAATAACATCTCCAACTCGGAAGCTTGGTACTCCTGACTTGGATACACCATTAGCATGAAACATTCCCATATCGAGACCACCGTCAGACTGCCATGTCACTCCAAAGCTTCGCCCATCGTCACTAGGTGAAATTCCAGGCACCGTCGAGCTCGAATCAACTTCAACGTGGTCTTTAGATTCTGGAGATGGTAGAGCTTTGTTGGAGCTAGTAGTACGCGGAACTTCCCATCCTATGAGCAGACTCTCGCCGTCTCCGCCGAAAACGTCGACAGTCACCTCGAACATCCATTTCCCAGACTCTCCTTGTCGCCTCTCCTTCGTTGCATGCACAGTACAATACCGATGGGATGCCTCTAGTTGCAACACGCAGTCTTCAGCGGCAAAGCTTACATATTTTTCAATATCGGTACTGTCCATTTTCACACTCGAGAATTCACGTCTACGAGTGAATTCCTGTGACAGGATCCCAGGAAAATCCTCCAGTGCTGAAGCGAAGCGATCGAACTCTTCGTCAAGTATCACTGCATCTTCATGCACTAGATCTACTGGATTATCGTCTCGCGTGACAGTGTTGCTAGTTAGTTTCTTCGCCAAAGTATAGCGCCTAGCAGCTCGAAGCCTGTCGTTGGTGAGGCCAGCCAAAAATCTCCCGAACTCAACTTTTCTAGTATGGAGCTCACGAGACACCAGATCCTGGTGAAGAAAATTCGTACCATAGCTCGCCACTTCGAGCAGATCCTTGGTCGTTGACTCTTTGAGAATAGCTAGCACTGTGGTCTCTGCGATCATCTTGCTGGTAAGTTCTCGGCGAAGCACAAACTGCGGAAGTTTATCCTGTTCGCTAATGTATTTCACTAGTGCACGACGCAAAGAATCCGCCTCGATATCTTCGGCCAGAATGAGCAGGCGGAGCAGATATTCACTGGACCCGAAGATCCGCTCCACCTGCAGTGACGTGGTCATGATCATGCGCTCAAGTCCATGCCAGCCGCTGCTGTCACACTTCTTTTGCAACGCCATCACGTCGCGTTGCATAATCTTCACTTTCTCATTCAGCACAGTCTTCTGTTCTTCGTATTTCGAGTAAATTTTGGCTCGCTCGTGGTTGAGAAGTGCTGCATGCATCTGGCGAATATGTTGGAGATCTGCCTCGAGATTCTTCTCTAGCTGAAGTTTTATAGTCTCAAATTCCTGCAACTGCATTTGTTCAAGCTTCTCCGCTTGCTTCACTCGAAGTGTCTCGAAAATGGCTCGAAGTTGGTGTGAGAGTAGCTGTTTGATGCGGTTTGCTTCCACTTGTTGTTGTCTCTGTAGCGCCAAGCGTTCGACGATAGTAGGGTCCTTAGCGAACAAGATAAGTCGATCAAATACTGTCTGTTCAAAGTGGTTGAACACAGCGCACGAATCGTAGCGAGGCACAGTGTCAGTGATCAGTAGCTTCTCGTTTAAAGTCTGGGCAGCATACAGAGTGAAGGCCTGGTTTGGTGCCGTCGTTTCTCCCTCCACTTGACGACGGAATAGGTCATCGATAGTCTTGCAACAACGACGAAGTTCTGCTTTAGAGACTGAGCGCGTGTACTTCGGAAAATTTCTACCCGACACCTCGACTGCTAACATTTCGGATGCTTCGTGTTGATATTTGTCCAGATCGTACATCATTTGGAAGAGTTGGGTCTCACACGACGTACGTGTGCTTTCAAGTAGTGACTGGTATTCGGGTAGAATACCAGATCCAGAATCCTTTGCGATGGTCAAGAATTTTAGGTATAGAATGAGCAAAGCTCGAAACTCAGGTGTTAGTAGTTTTTGTAGTCGCGCCTCGAGCTCTTGAGAGTCTCTCTGTACACCAAATTTCTGCTGAAACGCCGATGAGAGACCTGGTACGTCGAGTTTAGGATGAAAGCAACGAAGCTTTACCAGCAAAAGATCTTCTTCTACTGTAACGAAGTCGCCCGCGTCAAATAACTCTTCCACGTCACTGTCACTGTCATCACTCTCTGAGTCGTAGAAGATGTCGGTGGGTGGGAACGAGGAGATCGGTGGGGCGAGAGCAGCTCGTGACTGGACCATAGTAGAGAGACCAGGCTAAAACTTAAATATATTGAATGCGTTAACGATTACGTTGGGTCGTTTCTCGATCGATAAAAAGTGGTCGCTATTTCGAGAAGTTCTGATTATATCGTTGCAGTTCTCGACGTCGTTCACAAACGTAGACAAAGCTTAGGACTCAATGAATCAAGAAGACGTGGAGGTGTTTTCCAAGGAGACCTTCTTGACGTCGGTCAAAAGGATCTCCGACTCCGCTACAGGCAACAAGAGTGCGCAAATATCCAACACAAACGTCATCGATGAAGCTCCAGCGTATGCAAAAATCTACATGATTTTACTATTTTCACGTCATTAACTTTTGTTCCTGTTAGTATGGCAATCGTTCGACAGAAGCATGCACAGCTCCATGACGTTGTTGGGTCCTTATCGGAGAAGATCAGTTCCGTTCTAGCACGACAGGAGCGAGACTTTTTGGCTGCATATCGTGCCCACATGTACAATGTACAGAAGGAGCTTCACGAAATGCGCGAAAAAATTCATCGTAATGAGACGGTAGAGAACAAATCTGAGAAGATCAAGAAAATTGAAGACGAGCGCGATTGGTACAGGAAGGAGGCGCTACGTCTGGATGCGTTTACCACCACAATGACCAAAGATCTCAAGTACATGAAAGAGAACTTGGAATCCATCGAAGAAGATCGGAATTGGCTCGAAAAGCAGCTGAAAGCGTGTAAAAAACAGAACAAACTACTTCGCGCTGAGCTGGATGTAAGACTCGCAGTGCCTGGCAACAATTCCGCATCAGATTCTACTAGAGTTTTCCCATCGTTTGACAGATCAGGGTCCAAGATACTGAAGCATCGAGGCTCTCAAGAACTCCTGACTACAGCACATGGTTTACCTCAACTGAACTTGGACGTAACTTCTACAAGTCACGAACGAGAAGAGAAACTCAAGAAACAAATCCGCACTTTGAAGCGTGAACTGCAGCACAAATCCAACGAATTGGTCGCGATCAAGAGGCAGCAACGTCTTCTGAAACGGGACGAGAGTACTGGTCAATCTCTTCTTGAACAGTTTTTCTTGCAGTGTGTGAACTCAGTCAAAGAAGAAGTAAGTCGAAGACGAGACTGCAGACCAAGCTCCGTTAAAGGACAACGAGGAGGTCGGTTAATGGAGAAAGCTCGTCAGCCCAAAGTTGACGTTGAACTGGACGATTTCACTCCCAACGACCGCGTACGATTGATCGAGCGTTTGTTAGCACACGATGAAGTGTTGAGCTTCCTGTACAATCAGTTGTTTCCTACCGAAAAACCCGCTGTGAACACTGACGCATTAGAAATGAATTGGACCTCGCAGCCATCCGGACAGGAACTTCAGAAACGAGAAGAATCATTACCGACACTGCACTCTTCAGTGAGTCTTCCAGATACTACGAGCTTGTTCTCAAACTTCGACGGTAGCAGCAACAAGTCCACTAAAGATGGCGAGTCCGACTCAGTCCAAAGTGACACTGCGGTGGCTGCAGTTCACGGTTCCTTACCGCTGGACTTATTCACTAAGGAATACCTGAAATCCGTGTAAGTTGTGTCTATTTTCCATTGTCAAAAAGCAGATTTTAACCATATTTTCCTCCCAGAAAACCTGCATTCGAAGGGTAGCTTAGTAGCAACATTCTGCGGTAATGACTCTGCTTTCTATCTCTCGAATCTTCACTTCTGTCCGTTGAGAACCACCTGTGCAAACGTACTGTCCTCACGAGCAGCCAGTTCGTTGTACGTCCCCTGTTCCACAACACGTCCGTTGGAGATCACAGCAATACGGTCGGCGCTCTTAATGGTAGATAGACGATGTGCCACCAGAATAACAGTGCGGCCTTGCTTGGCGCGATCCACGGCGTCCTGCACTAGTCGCTCGCTTTCAGGGTCCAGAGCTGACGTAGCTTCGTCCAGGATCAAGATCTTAGGACGCTTAACAAGCGCTCGTGCAATGGCCACACGCTGCTTCTGGCCGCCTGAAAGCGCTTGGCCTCGCTCTCCTACGATCGTATCGTAGCCATCCGGGAACGACATGATAAAGTCGTGGGCGTTAGCCACTTTAGCTGCACGGATAACATCGTCCAACGTCGCTTCTTGTCCCTCAGAACAACCGTACGCAATGTTATCCCGAATCGAGCACGCGAACAGCGGTGGTTCCTGCGGAACAGCACCCATAAGTCCACGTAGCTCCGACGGGTTTAATGTCGAAATATCCGCTCCATCCAGCATAATCTTTCCGCCACAACCAGGTCCGTCCAAGTCGTAGAAACGCGCAAGTAGCGACGTTACCGATGATTTACCACATCCGCTGGGTCCAACAAGAGCCAGTGTTTCATTAGGCAGCACTTCCAAGTTAAGCCCACTGAAAATCTCCGAGTCTGGACGTGTAGGGTACGCAAAAGATACGTCTTGGAACTGAACATGACCGGTGAACGGAATAGGAAGCGAAGCCCAGCCTCCTTCAGGAACTCGGATTTTCGGCTGGCGGTTCAGCAGCTCGAAAACTCGTGACGAAGCTCCGATTCCTTTCATCAACTCAGCGTAAAAAGACGACAAACCAGCGAAGGAGAAGCCCACGTATAGTGTATACAGTAGGAACGACGTGAGATCTCCACTAGTGAGCAAACCATCCGCTACCATTTGTCCACCGTAACCAAGAACACCCAGCATACTCATTTTAACACCAAAATCCACTCCACCAAAGAATGTGGCACTAGCCAGTGAGCGTTTGCGAGCCAACGCCAGCACTTCGTCCACTTTTCCTCGATGCGTTTCCACCTCATGTGGCTCCTTGGCGAACCAACGCACCACTCGGATGTTGCTGAGCTTCTCTTCAGCCACTTCGGTGGCCTCACTCAACTGGGTCTGCACTTTGGTCGTGAGTTTCTTAACATACCGACCATAACTCACTGCCCCAATTGCAATAGGCGGCACGACAGATAACATTACCATCGCCAGTTTGGGACACGTGACAACGATCATCGTGATACTGCCCAAAGCTTGGCCTGTGCTGCGTAGTCCGCCTGCCACATTGTCACTCAGGACTTTACCGATCAACGTCGTGTCTGCGCTCAGTCTGTTGAGCAATTCTCCGGTCCTGGACGAGTCAAAGAAGCCTAATTCTTGCTTCAAGATGGACGCGTACGTGTCTTGTCGTAGTCTGTTGGTGATGCGCTCTCCGATCATGTTGCTGGTGTCCACGCGGATGATGTTGGCGATAGACCCAGCAGCAAAGAGACCGCCCAGTAGCGTCACTACGGTGGGTAGCGGCATTGCAGCAGCCGAGCCAGCGGTCACCACGTCGATTACTTTGCCCATTCCGTAGGGTACACACATGGTGATGAACGTGGAGACGCCCAGCGCCGAGATGGAGATGGCTAGAGGCTTCTTCTCAGGCTTGTAGAGTGATAGAAGCCGCTTGATTTCGCCCGCTTTGGCTGGAGCAGCGACATTCTGTTCCTTCTCGTCTTTAGCATCGGACAGAGTGGAGAAGAGCAGCTGGGAGCTTCGAGAAGGCGAGAAACATATATTCGAGCGCGGATGAACGCGTGCTCGAGACAGAGACAGCGTTGTGCCTTGGAAGCTAAGAGAAACGAGAGAAGTGAGAGCGGGTACGAGCGTGAGAGGAAAGAGAGACTACCGACCGAGGAAGACGCCGCAGCATTTTACGGCGACCACACACGCCAAATGTGCAATGACCAACGTACTCTGGTTTTTGTGACGGACAATTATTGACTGGGATTTAATCCAAGAAAAGCTATTTTAGCTTTTTTTTTTAAATAAAAGCTTTTTTTATGAGACGAAAACTGAAAAAATATCTTACCATCGTTTCTCGGATAAAATACCGGTGCGGAAAATGAGCTGCTGATGGACGACGAGTCGCGACGATCGGATCGGGAGTTCTCAGTGCTTGGAGAAGACAGATGTGAAACCCGCAATGTTCTCGTCAAGTCCTCAAAGAAACACGCTATCGGTGCTCTCAAGCGAAAGATGGAAGGGTTCGAAAATCAAATGACAACAATCCGCGCCAGACTTGAGGCTAGACGCGAATTGACGTCATCGGAACGAACTATTCATCTTCCTGCAGTAAATTCCAGTCCAAAATCTGTTACGACAACTATAGAACCCTCGTCGTCTACGAGTTGTTTAAAGTTCCCGCTATTACAACGTATTGTAGGTACTCGCGTAGCCAACGCGCCGCCAAAAGATCATTTTCTCGAAGTGGAGAACGTTATTCAACGCGCAACCACACGAGAAATTCACGCTCGAGATGCAAATACTGTCGCGACCAAGGAGTTAGCTGCTGCGTCTGCAACTAAAGAGGCGCAACAATTAGGAGAAGAAGCTCGAAAGCGTATGGTAGCATATTCACAAAACGAAAATGGCTGGCGGTTCGAGGAGCGCTCGTCTCGGTATCAGGAGGTGATGGAGATGAAGCAACAGGCTGAGAAAGCGCAGCAACAAGCAGACCGACAGCGCGAGACAGCTCGACAGATGAAGATGTTGCTGCAAGATCCGTACCGACAACTGCGGTCAACTCCTGTACCGAGAAACCTACTGCCGTTGTCGTCTCCTAAGGACCATGAGTGGATATGGGTCTTGGCTTCTCCGTCGGCCAAGCTGACGTTTACACCTCGGAAAGAAACGACGGAGACAGTGCTAGACAACGAAAAAGAGCTTTCAATGTTCGTTGTGTATTATATTGCAGCTTCTGACGTGAATATCAAACGTGTGGAAACTGAAGAGCAGTGGCAGGATGTATTGACTAATGACTGTCCACCTACAAACGGATGGATGTGTTACTCCGTGCATGGTATACCTCCCGCTCCAGAGTTGACAGCAGTGAAATCTGGCATACAGACGTGGACTGTAACAGGAGCTGGCGCGGGTCATTTGAACGGGAAATACGTAGCCAGTGGCGTCCACGATCGTGTTAAAAAGTTCAAATCATCGGCAGGTGTCGAGCTGTTCCGGAAGTGCGTTCCAGTAGCTTCGTCGCTCGGACAGGCCCTACACAGACCAGAGTCTGCCAGTTCTAGCGTTGAACACAGTACGAAGGAAGACGAGTTACAGAAGAACAAACCCAATGTCTTGCCTAGTGAACTCGCTGTTATCGAGAAGGACGAGCGTGACTTTAAGTCAATGCAGCGAGTTGGATCGTGGCTCAGTATGAACGAGTCAATTGAAAGAAACCGAGGAATGTTGGCAACTCGAGGTGCTAATGATGATCCCAAAGTGAAAATTGACGGTAGTAGCGTGATGAATCAAGGATCTCGAGAAATTGCGGATAACAGTGATGTGGCCAAGTCTAGATCTCGAGTAAACGCACCTTTATGTCGAGAATGGGTACTTTTTTCACGGTGTTCTAGAAAGAAAGTCAGCAAGTCTATGGAGGCTGTTGAACCTCCTAAGAAAGGTATCGGACTGGGGTGTTTACAGCGTCACTACTATATTTCATTCGAGGAGAAACGAGAAATGACAGTCTGGGTGCAAACAAAAGAGTCGTGGCTCGAGAAAAACGTATTGGCTGTGATCATCGAGCGAGAAGCTCAGATGGAACGTGTGCATCATCTGAGTCGCAAATGTATGGTTAAATTTCAGCAAAACTTACGAGCAGAAACCGAAAAATCCAAGATAAAACTCCTAGCGGAGTTGAATCGTATCCGCTATTTATCGGTGAAGGTTCTGGAAAGTATCGATCGGTGGCGACAACACGCTCGAAAGATTGGATTTTCGCGCCACGACAGACAGATAAAATCCACTAAGAAGCGAAGTAATTTATCCAGCGAGGAGGCTCCATTGCTTGGATGGTCAGCATCTATAACGTTAGATACGGGCAAGCAGCTCTATAAGGGATCCAGTGCTTTTGTGTCGAAAGTTAAACGTTTCCGTCGTAGTCAAGACATCACTGGCAAACGAGAGCAACATATTGTCTATTTGGGGTATTATCAGACCCAAGAGGAAGCTGAGCGTGCCTACGATCAACACGCGGCGGCTGAAGCTCGTCGACTGAACACCACAGTCGAACATTTGCCTCCCCGACGGAATGTTTTTCGGTCATGTGGGAAACATTTTGCAGTGGAAAGTGAAAAATCCGGTCCGAGCTTCTGCATCGAGTGCAAGACGAACCAACTGGCGTCGTTATCGTCAGCTGCAGAGGACTGGGTCCCCCCGTTCTTCTATGGAACGGGGGTTAACTACATCATGAAAATGGCAAACGACTTGGATTTCTTAGACGAAAACCTACCGCTAAAGGCTACGTTAAACAGTGGCCGAGGTGTCGATGAAGACGCGTTCCCAATGCGCGGTAATGTTTTTCTGTTACCCAAGACGCCCATCCAGGATCCGGAGCTCGCAGTGTTTGCAACATTCCCGACACCCACAGCTCCTCGACTCGGATGTTCCACCTCGGATATTAACGAAATCGATGAAGAAGTTCTGGGTCGAGATCGGATTTTTAAGGCTCAGCAAATTTTCTTGCAAGAGTTGCAGATTTATCGGTCGGAGTTGATGGATTCTATTCCAAAGGTAGGACCTAAAGATTTAGCGCTAAGAACATCCAACCAAGAGCCTTCAGCCCCGCAGTATCGACTGGTGCAAGCGCTATACTGGGATCATTGCGCCGCACTGAAAATCCAACAGGAGCGACCGCCGCTAGCTATGCGCCAGCCGAATGTTTGGTGTCGTCCGGATGCCGGCGAATGGGCTGGTTTAGTCGTCCGAGGATCGCATCAACAGCACTTTTTGTTTGAAGAAAAGCTGGAAAAAACTGGCAAAGAATTGGTGCAAAAGCGACAACAAGTACTAGCTGCTTTGCGCCAGCTGAACCAGGTTCCGCTGTATTTTATTCGCTCTCGTACAGATTTTACCGAGCTCATTGCAGCAGGACAGCAGGTACGCGGAGATGTGGTGCAACTGGAAGTTAACAATGCTATCAAAAGAATGCAACGATATGATACATGGTGTACCATGTCGGTGGTAGTACAGCGCTGGTTTCGAGGTGTTCTTGGAAGACAAATGGCGCGTGTGACGAGGAAGGCGCTGAGTTTGGCGTATAAATTACGCGTATTTTATTTCACACAAGTGGCTGCAGCAGCAAAGTCGTTTTATAACACTGTACGCACAACGGCAGTTCGTCGTGCGTACAAGAAAATTTGTACGCCTGTTTACACTCGCGCTGTTGTGATGGATGGAGAGCCTGTAGTTATAACTTTCCACTCTCTTCGACACTACCAAGCTACCAATAACTTTCGAGATGTTACGGCCAAGAAATGTGTGCTACCTTCTTCTTGTTGTACGAGCTGTGCGAGAAGATTTCACGTTAAGGCGCACTATCAGTCCGATAAAAACAAATTTGCAGTATACCGTGGAGTTTGCACGTGCTATGTGAACGGCGGAAGTAATTTAAACGACGAAATGAAACGCGAGAGCTGGTTAATTCGTGCGTACAGTCCGCAGCATAACGTAATTTATCGCCTCCGCCTAGAAACCTCCCAGTTACAGCAACTTTTGTCGTCGCAAACACTATTCCCGCACTTTTCACTTAGATTTCGTCCGCTTATCTTGGATATGGAGTTGAAACAAATAGAAGCAGCAACGGCATCGCGTTACGCAACGTTTTGTGTTAAAAACACCGAAACTGCAGTTAAGAACCTTGCGAATTGGAGACGACTGAATAGTGAGGCAACACAGACAAGAAAGTCTTTACTAGTAAATCTGGAGAAAAGTTTAGCGTTATTGGACACCACAAAACACGCGCATGTTGCTTCTATCGTGAACGCAAAGAAAGCACTCGACTTTACGTCTCGCCCCTTCTCGGAAGCTCAAGCTTGGGATCCCCTCGAGAATGCCAACGACTGGAGATTTATCGTTGAAAAACGACAATTAACTAAACGCTTGGAAGAAATATATCAAGAGGTGGAGCGTCTTCGGGTCGCGTACTTCCAAGCCACGTACAACGAGCAATACACTCGAGCAGGAGCCTCCGATGCGCAGGATCAATGCAACCGTGTGTGGCTTCCATTAACGGAACGAGCAAATCAACGTATGGAGGAGGCGCTTATGCTGGAAACGTCGACCAGGACACGCATGGAAAATGTGATGGAGCAACTCTGCAGTCGCTTCTTGACTCTACGTGATGGTTACTTCGTTCCAACACGCCGTAATCTCATTATTCAAAGCCCGATATGGTATGATTTGGTGCCGTTCCGAGTCGATATCCCTGGGCTTCGTCGAAGACTAAGTCACTTGCGGAGACGTACGTTAGTGCTATCGAGTCAGAACACCAGGACTCGGCGTATGGTAGTGACAGTTAGCATGTGCCCAATTGGTGAGCAAGGTAGCCAGAATTCACACTTGACTCGGGATATTTGGGTTACGGCGTACGACCCCGTGGATTGTTCTATGCACAATATTTTTCTTGAATGGCAACTCGTGCAGCTTCTGACCGGTTCGAATGGGAAAAAGATCTGGCAAGACTCGAGTCAATCCAAGCGTAGTGCCTGGAAGTCGATAGCGGATATGCTAATATCCCTTTCTACGCTGGATCGCTTTACGGGCGAATTCACGTTGCAGAAACTCGAATTTTACCAAACGTTGCGTCAACTGTCACCACAATTTCTTTCCAGTCGAGTGATGCGAGATCTGCAACAAGGTCGTAAATGTGGACAGGGAGACGAGATTTTACGTCAAGTAGTAGCTGTCGACGGGAGACTTTGTGTCGTGGTCGTCTATGAGAACTGGGGGGATTTAACCTTTGCCATTTACCATTCGAAAACTGGAGAATTTTTCCGATTATTTATGCCACTCAGCGAGATTTTGGATATTCTAAGCAAGAAGCCCTTAATGCTTCGGCTCTGGATTAACTGTGTCAAGTCGAACTCGTACACTAAACCACTTTTGGTTTCTCTTCTGAAACATGTCAGATTTTTCCAACTCGACGATGGATCTGAGGATATAAGCGTAGAGCACGATCTTCCGGTACAAACGCAATCTAAACCTTATCAAACGGGTATCCGGATTCAAAAGCGACTGGTTCTTATCAATGTTATCGAAGACACGGCTGGTGACTTCCAGATATCCGGATACGATATGAGCAGTAAGCTGACGTACAAACTTTTACTGGAACGCGAAGATCTTCGTCGCGTGCTCAAAGCCAGAGAACTACCAGATTTTTCAGCATTAAAATCCAACCTTTCCACGTCTTCATCTGCACTGTTACTTCGTCGCAACAGGAACTTACTTTTCGAATGGATTTGCAGTCGTTTACGATTCCGAAGTTTGTCGGAACATCCTGAAGTGGCCACATCCGGAACGACATCGAGGCTCCATGTACGAGAAAGCTTCCGAATACTCAATCGGTGGATTGAAACCAGTCCACGAAACCCGATTCACACTGTATCGGAGGCGGATATAACTCGTCGAGCGTCTGCGATTGACGCAGCTGCTTTGTCAAGATTTCAACGTGATCAACTAACACTAATGATTTACTAATAATTGGAAAGTATCATAATTTTTGATTCAAATCTATTTGAGATGGTAAAGTTGGGCTATTTCAAGTTGTCGAACATTGGTAGTTTCCCAAAACGTCAACTTCGGTCACTTCATGGCGCTCAATGATCATGGTGCAGCCACGTCACCTCCGGAACGCATTTTGTCTCTATTGGGTCTCGACAAATCGTCGGTAGCAGATGATCTACGAGTTCTGGTAAGCAGTCGCTTTCGACCCCCACAACAAGCGCAACTAGTCGACATCCTTAGCGCAATGCAGTCAACACCAGCCCTTTCCAGCGTGACTACATGGTTCTCGCACCAATTCGACCCCACAGACGACGTGGAACATTATTTACAAGATCTCATCCGCATGCACCACTATATCGCAGCACACGATCGTCAACGCCCCCTACGCAGCAGACATCTCGAGAGCCTCGAGTCTAGTGACAACGCAGTAACGAGCCATCTCATACATTTTTACGCCTCATTTGCAGACAGTAAAGATCGTCATCTCCTCACAAAAATCTACCAGACTCTTGGGCTATCGAGAGCCATCTCGTACTGCGTCGTGGCCAAGACGATGCCTTTCAAAGTCCAGAAAGAATTCCTCGATTTGTTCGCTGAGGATCTACCGGAGCTTCGTGAGTGGATCAATTGGTTGGATGAATTAGAGCACGCAGCAGTTGGTAAAGAGGGCGGCGTAGCTGAGGTCTACGGACCAGGCTACGAAAGCGCCGTAAATTTTGTGAGTAGAGCGATCAAAGAGCACTGTATCCTCACGTGGCTTGCGCTACTACGTCCACTGGATACAGCGAAGCGACTTGCGCTTATCGACGCTATCCACAAACTTCTCGCAGCGTCAAATAACAGTGGATTCTTGTCCACAACAACCAGCACGTTAAAGAAACTGGGTCGATTCTACGAAACCACAGGCGTATCTGCAGTTAAACTACTGGATTTGGACGTCGCTGTGCGTCATGAGCTCTCTTTACTACTAGAAGAATTCCCGACTATTATTCTTATCACTCTTTTTACCAAATTCAACAACGAAAAGATGATCCACTTGGTAGTCAAACGTGGACTGCCGTTCTTTCCGAAAAATGACTTAGTAAAAATGCTGGACGCTCTCGCTCCCGCCGAGACTACCGCCATCGAAGTGTTCGTGACCACTTTGTTCAATTTTGGACGTCAGAAAGTTGACTTTCTACTGCTTTTTCTGACTTTTTCGCCTCAAAGCCAACTCCGATTTCTCGATCTCATGGTCGCAACATCGAATTCTCCTTTAAACGCCGATACCTCAGGCCACGAAGAAGATCCCGAGGACGCATTCGCGATTCAAGATCTTCTCACAGGAAACAATTTTCTGTTAAAATTCTTCCTTTACGCTGGTCTGAAATCTCCAGATCTAGTGATTCAAAAACTATCGACTTTACCTACCGAGATGGTTCACCAAATGATGTACACTATTGTAGTCCACTCTGCAGAAGACTTAGTGGTACTGGGTCGGGGGCTAGAGACTATAGAGCTGCCATGTTTGCAGCCTTTTCTGCGCTTATTCCTCGCCATTCCACTCGATTGGAGAGAAGTTCTAGTCAAGCTAGTTGAAGACATGCCGGGCGAGGAAACGCAGCCTCTTTACGACACTATACTGCACCTGCAAGCCACTTGTCAAGACAAAGTCACAACTGTTCTTCAAATGCTTGGAGCTCTCGATAAGAAGGGCAAGACGATACTTTGTCGAGATATCCTCAACCATCCCGACGTGCCTTCGTCCATCGAAATCCACGCTAAAGTTCTGCTTTATCTTTGTGAATGTGACCTCGCACGTCGTAAAGTTCTTCGTCTTCTTCGTGCCATCCCATTCACTAAATACGATTGTCTTCTCTACTTCCTGCGTACCCAGCGAATGCCCGAGCAAGTAGCTTTAACGCGTCTAATGTTGAGTATGCCAAGCGATGCCAACTGTCGATTATTGGCGAAGATGTCTGCGTGGCCATTAGAAGCACTCGATGCTTTCTTCCAGCTGCTGCTGATGCTTGCCAAAGTGGAGTACAAAATGTTCGCCAAGTTGATGGGATCGCAATACGTTACTGACGAGCAGCTACAGGTTTTTATCACGGTAGCTGTGGATATGATGAACCAGGCTTCTAGTCGAGAACTCGTCATCTTTGCTGCTGAGCTGCCAGTTCATATTCGAGATCTTTTCTTTGAGATGCTCACTGATCGTCCGGAGAAGGGAGTTCTGCTTCGTATCATCGGCTATTCCACTCGAATGCCACCTGAACTGATGCACATTCTCGTCGCGTTATTCCATCGAATGTCGTGGGAGATTCGCTCGTTTTTCATCGAGCAGCTTCGAGTATTGGAAGGATTTAACGACGTAGAAAACCTGGCTGAAGTAGCGTCCAGTCTCCAAGATAATGAGGCGTTGAAGCTGCTGGTTTTGTTGTTGAACCCGCTCCAATTCCAGATTCGAGTGAGTCTTATAGCGCTCTTCCTGCAGCTCAGTGTCCATGAACGAGCACTGCTTCTTGCTAGGCTTGTGAAGATGCCTAAGAGCTCGGTGGGCTCCTTCTGTACGGCGATCTGTAGCTCAAGTTGCGAGCCTGTGAGTGCTTCATTCTGTCGCGTTATTGGCCTGGTTGATCCAAAATATCACACGTCTCTGCTTCGCTTACTAGCAAGCGAGCCATTGTGGTTCTTCTTGCGTCTAATGGCCGAGCATTGCGACGTTGAAAACAGTCTACAACAGACCACGGAGCTGCTGAATCAAGTCGCAAAGACCGTGTGTTTATTCTCTCTGGACGATCATTTATTACTGCTGCGAGACGTGATCCGAGCAGCACTTGGAGACGCAATGCCGCTGAGTGATGTAGTTGCTGTGCTTGCATTATTTTCTGAAGTATCGAAGCTTCTTGAGTTCCTCCGATATGTCATCGGGTTTGCCAAGAGCGCACGTACCAGCTTGATATTCCGCGTTCTTTCAAAGTACCAACAACCAGCTTTTATCTTCGAAATGTGTCGTATTCTGGACTTGGACGACGCAGTATTTGCCTTGAAGCGACTGGATCGAATGTACCAACGACGACATGAAGAACTGGACAAAGCGATGGAGTCTCTATCCCGACTGTAAGTGCTCTTCCTTATTCTTCGGTTGGGTTATCTAACAGCACCGTGTGTGTAGATTTGCTGGAGGTAATGTTCAAGTTAAGGACGACTTCTGTGACCTCATCGTGGGGTTTAGAGGTCTTTCAGCAGCGGTCGATGAGGAAGCCAACGGATCTGATCGTATAGTAATACCACGCGCTACGGAGAGTATTCCACATGACGAAGAAACAAGTGACGAGGACGAAGACGAAGACGACCCTGATCGTCCGCTTAGATTACCCAGTACGACACCACCGTCACACCAACCTGTCGCGCTTAATCGTCATCTGCAACGAACCAGACCGGGTCAAGCGTTCCCCCGAAAGCGAACCGATAGAAAAGCATGGTGGCAGGACCTGGATGACACGTCCTTCCTGTTGCTCCCAAGTGATCGACACAGTGAAGCTTCACTCAAACGCCAGGAACAGCAAGAATCTCCACCAAAAAATCTTCCATCCGTCTTCGCTCTAACCGAACAACCTCACTCCGTTCGCCTAAATGAGGACACTAAGCCACTAGATCTGGACGATACAACTACCTCACTGGAAGCACTCCCACAAATCAACGTACCCCCGCCAATTAATACGTGGCAACCTCAAGCTGGTCAACACAGCAATATCTCCCTCAATAGATCCGAATCTGCGTCAACTACGCTGTCCTATGAGAATGACACTCAATGGAGCAAGCAAAAACGATCGCGTGGTGTGGCAGCAGCTCTTAACAGTCCTCCGGAGTTCCACGTTGGTCGAGACAAAGGCGCCGATTTCCTCCAAAAGCAACGCAATCGTGTATTCCAAGAGAAAGGGGCGTCACGCATCCGACACGCCAAGACTTTAATCGCTCAAGACCACGTCATGGAGGTTCGAGTGTGTCGAGCATTAGGCAAGCGTGTTCCGATTCTGCAGACGACCTTGTCGCCTCTCTCTCGGCCTGATCCACATACGGTAGAAAGCGCCGTTAACATGCTAGCGAAGGCTGCTCAACTTCGCGAATCCAGTCCACAAGGCTTCGTCACTGAAGCTCCAATGCACAGCCCAATACCAGCGAAGCATCACACGCGTATACTACCAACCAGCCCGACAATTCCAGCGAATCCAAGCGCCAAACCGGAGACGGAGCTTAGCTGCGAGCCTGTTGCTCCGTGGTGATGCGCGTGTCGATGTTAGACCACGAGTAATGCAGCGGCAGACGAAGCTGTGTGATCCGCGTTCCATCCTTCGTGTTCCTGCTGGTCGAAATGACGGCGTGGAACTGGCAAATATCATGCAGTAACATCCGGAAGAAGCTGTCTCGCATCGCCAGTGTAAGTGTACTAGTCGAGACCTCCCACTTGCGGAAGTGAGGCTGCTCAGCGCATGGCTCAAGATCGTGCTCGAACCCGGCGATCTGCGCTCGACAAGCTTCTGTTTTGCGCTGTGCAAAGAGCACAACGATCTCTTCTAGACAGAAGAGGAAGCGACGGTGAAGGAAGCGCTCCAGATTGCGAGTGATACAGCCAGCAGTAGCAGCGAAGCCTTCAGTGGTTTTCTTCTTCTTGGGCCTCCTTTTACGAGTTGAAGGTACGTCGCGTTGATTTCGCTGCGCTTCTTGCTCCTTATTAAGTGTCTCGAACAGGTTTTCTAGTGTATTCGAGTCGCACTGACGGAGTAATAGAGAAGGTTTTAGCTTCCGTTCTCGCTCTCGAGCTGCGTTTGACATCGGTCTCTCTCCAAGCGCGTGTAGATCGTCACACGCTTTGCTGTTCATGAACACTCGTGCCTCCCCCACTGACTGCATCATCGCTACTAGTGGCTCTCGCTCAGGGATCTTAGACCGTAACACTGAAGAGGTTAATTCACTGTCGCCAGTAAACGCAGCGTCATGTAGAGCTGTGCAGATAACGTTAATCAACGCGTTACTTGGGCGATTTGAGGATGTCGAAGTGGTAGCCACGGCACTGTGGAAGCCCGCAAAGGCACGAAGAGTGTTCGCAAGTCCATACTCTTCTTGCAGTCGAGCAGCTTCGTCCTCGATTTTGTGAATACGTTCCGCAATTCCGAGATTAATTGCACATTTAGCAAGGTTCGCCACTGATAGTATGCGCTGTCTCTGTCTTGTAAGTCTCGCTGGAGTCACCATCTCTGACTGTTTGCTGAGCTGCAGTGACACGTGTGGTAGCGCTAGCAATAGACTGATCTTCTCGGACAATACCGCCATTCCGTAGATCTTGAACACTTCAAAAATCTCCCTCGATGTCCGTAAAATGTGCTCTTCATCCAGTTGAATCATAGCTATTCGCACGGTCTCGTCCTCAATGGTGGCGTTTCCAACTGCAAAGTAATGATGCCGGGTAGTATCTTTACTCTCCACCTCTGAATCTTTATACTCGTCCACTGAGAATTCTTCTTCTCTCTCCTCTTCAAATACTTCGACACCTTTTGTGACGATAAGCTCCCCTGTATTCTCATCCAATTGTTCATCCGGTAAACATGTGAACGGGTTGAACGCCACACTTAGCGGTCCTTTAGCTGCCATCATTGTTTCCCCTTTCTCCTTAGCTGCTTGGCTTCTCTCTGTAAAATGACAGTGGAGCATCGAGGACAGTACCGTGTCCAGATGAGCTCGATACCCGTCAGAGTCATCATTACGTTGGTGCAACTTAAGCACCAACTCCCCCACCACCGATTCAACCACATCCGCTCGTTGCTTCAACTTCACGCTCTTCCAGCTTGCGTCTTCCTGTAGGTTACGACGCTGCACTGCCGCGTACCCCATGGCATCGTACACCTGCGCTAAGTTGCGGTTCGTCACCACTGCCAATCTTAAGTTGCGGAATACCCGCGCGCTCAACGGCGCCTGGTGGAATTGAGACAGCAAGCAGCGGCCCACCAACTCGCCAATGACGGCGTCTCCCAGCCACTCGAACACGTCGGCGAGAGCGGCACTGGACGAGCAACTTTGCAGCGCATGGAAATGCGCCACCGCGGCCGCAGACGTAGACACCGAGAGATCCTCTTTCCGGTGCTTGGCCTTCTTCACCCGCGCGTGCACGTCGCTCTCCGAGAATGAGCGGCGGCGAGAGTGCTTAATTCGACGCTTCTTGGTCATGCTTTTGACGAATGATGAAGGAAACAAAAGTACTAATAGTTCTCTGAAAATTAAACGGTCAGATTGTTTAAGGGTTTATACATCACTGTAAAAATACTGAGAGTCCTTGGTCACATGCTCTAGTAAATACCCCTCATAACTAATACCTGCGTTGTTTTTAAATCACCCACATGAATGTCGACCCTGTCGGCGACGGTCCCATCTTCGTGCAACATGCAACCGCAAGTAATTTATCGGGTTGTACATTTTGGGCGTTTTTTCATGGGATAAGAACAAAATATCGCTTCGCCCACAGGTCTATTTATTGAGTCACTAGTTACGTTGTTTGCCTCCAAAACCATTGCGGAATACTGAATGGTCCAGCGTGATAGGGCTGCGACCCAGGTTTCAGCTCGAAGTTGTACGGCTCGCAAGGCATTGTTCCTATCGTTCCTTCGTCCAGGGCTCGGAAAATACTATATCTTATTGTACGGCCTGCTAGCATTATCAGTAATAAGTTAATCAATACGCTCACGAACAATAGATAATTATTGTCAAATACAAAATATATTGGTAGCCTTACTTCTTCAAGACACAGAAATATCTCACATCTGCTCGTGTACGTCCTGCACCATACCCACATCCCAATAGCTTCGGTTAGCACGTAGAAACATTAGCATTTCAAAGTTCACAGGCAACAAAGATGCTCGTTGCGGCGTCAGTACTAGCTTGGACTGGGAGAAGACTCTCATAGTGGTTGTTGGTTGGAGGCAGCTTCTCTATGAGCTTGGAGTAGGAAGCCGATGTTTGTCTCCCGCTCGCCTTCTTTGCTCTCAGCACCGACGTAGCGAAGTCTTCCTCCTTCTCATCGTCATCACGCCGCTTGCGCTTTCTGCCAGAGCTTGCCGACGCCGTCTCCACCTCAAAGCGCTTGATTGCCTTCCGCTCACTGGCCGTCAGACTGCCAACCTCTCCATTATTGACCTAATGAAGCAGATACAAATATTAATAGCGTTAGCATTTCCACATACCGATAGTAGTATTAAAATTAAAGAATAGTACCTTCACTGCGGCTGCTTCAAAAGTAGGAAAATGGACGATAGTAGCAGTCGCACTCAACTTAGCCTTGGTCGTTGGGAAGCGCTCGATGATGGAGTCAAACAAAGCTCGTACATCGGCTAACATCACGTCCTCTAGCTGTAGCTTCAGAGTTACACTCTGGAAGACACGTAGATCTTTTTAGAAGCGCCTCAATGCGTCGATGCATTGCCGCCTTGGGAATGAGGTCGAACACGTCCCCCACATGCTTGATGTTGTCCACGTAGTTCTCCAGATAGAACGTAGATGCATCATACATGTAGCCATACTGCCCTGACATCTCGGCAGTAATCTTAGCCTCGACAGCAGCAACAAGTAAAGTCATGTATCGCTTGAGCGTCTTTGAACAGACAGGCTGAAGTTTCGACATGCCTCTAGTGAATGGATCATCGACCTCGCTTAACGGCATGTTACGGGCGACGACCCACTCGATCCATCGATACATGTTGGATGCGGTAGGGTTGACAAACCCAAAGGTTCTATGCAAACCCGCCTGTCTGCTTTGATGGGACTTGTAGTCTTCAACGTAACCGGGGTGCTTGTCCTTGAAATGGCTGATCATATTTGCGTAGCCACTTGAAGGGATCTGCTTGTGCCGGGCGCTACAGTAGTTGCAGACAAAATAGCGGTCTGTGTCAGCAGCGAAAAAGAAGCGGGAAAGGTCGCTGTTGCGTGTAGTGCTCATTCTGAAGGGTTTTACAGTAGAGAGTGCAGTTGGAACTGAGAGCTTAGAGCTTAAATTTTGTACGAAGGTTGCAGTCTAGATGGCTAAGCGTTGTGAAGCTCTGAGCCATCCAACTACGGTTATGGGATCGTCGGCGATTGACTGAACCGTCCACAGCTGTTATAATACTTCTTATAGTATTAATAGCAGTATATTGTGTCGTTGTGCAATAATATCACATAGTCATATATTTCAATAGTTAATAATTCCGTACAAAAAATATGAATACTATTGGTACGGAATAATTTTTTCCGAGCCCTGCTTCGTTCAGATCGTCGAACAACTCGAGAAGCTTGCGAAGTGCGTGTTGCTGGTTGGAGTCGAGATGGTCAGGGATGCAGCTATCCAAGTTGACCTTGGCATACTTGGCGTCCAAGATCTGAACCATCCGTTTCTTCGCTGCCTGTACGCTAGCAGGGGATTCGTAGACATATCTTTCACTAGCTAAGTTTACGCGCAAACGCATGGGCACCTCGAGTCCGTCCCATTCCATGACACGACGTTCGAAATCAAAGTTGAGCTTTAGAGACAGAATAAGGTCACGACCAATGATACAGTCGTAGCCTCGGGACTCAGCACCGCACCCTAAGCAGTAACGCAAAACGCGTGGTTGATGGCGCGATTCGTCGTAAAATCGGGGAGCTTGAAGCGAACAGGTGCATTTCCCACGGTCTCAAAACGACCTCCTTTGGTTAACCACTTTGTGGTGTACCGGTTTACCTTGCATGGATGCGGCAGTAGCGCGTAGGAACAGATCGAGCTTGACGATCCAAAGTCAGCAAGGGCTCTGACAAGTCTGGTCTTGCCATTAGCAAGAGGAATTGCCATGAGCAGCTCGGTTGCCACTTGATCATCGGACTTAACTGAGGTAGAGACTGCAGAAGATTAAGGCGGAGTTACCGAGCCAGTTTGGCTTGGTGATCGGCGGGTGGTCCCACGCGTCAGAGCACTTTCTAGCCGTTTTTTGCGTGCTACGAGACAGACGGCGTGAGACACCATGCGCTTTTGTCTATGGCTCCACTGATCGGTGAGGATGGTGATGATCACTCGGCCGAAGGCCATCGCGTGTTTTTGGACTCGATGCTGCAGCGTGATTACGGCAAGAGCCTGTACGATTGCTTGTTTATTCTCGGCGACAACTGTGCCTTTAACAGAAGACTGGCAACAATTGCTCACCTCCCTCTAATCGGATGCGCGAGCCGATGGCTCAATATCGCCGTGCAAGCCTATCTTCAATTCTACAAGGACGAGCTGGACACCATTCAAAACCTGATGCGAAAGCTTCGCACGCTGAATCACGCCGCAAAACTTCGGTAACCAATTTTGGGAAAACGGAATTTTGTTGAATTGGTTATATTTTTGTAATTTTTCATTTTAGTGCCAAAACACCACTACGCCCCGTTCTCCGTCAAGACACGCGATGATGGACCGCTACTTCTGTCTGGCGGGGTTTATAGAGGCAGATGATGAAGAACTGTGCGAGCTGATGGCTTCCCCGCGCTCTGTGAAGCGACTTCTGTCTCTGCCGTCCGACTTGAAGCGCATCGAGAGTGTTAGCAAGTCTCTACAGTGCGAGACGACCACGATTTTAGACGTACGGCTTTGGTTTGATGGCCTCATCGAAGTTGATCCCTCGTTTGCTGAGTATTTGGGTACGTACCGGCAACTTGACACGTTTACTATGCAAAACTAACAGTCTATGTTTTATATTCCCTACAGCACCGCGTGCTAGAATCGTTCATTCTCCAGATTTCGAGAGCGGTTGCACAAAAGTGCTCGAAGGCGAAGGCGCCAAGCTAACGAGGGCTGAATCTGCCGCGCTGGAACCGTTCGCCATCGAGCACAGTGAGAGTGAGTCCGACTCGGAGTCAGGGTCGTTCGTTGCGCAGCTCCAGCGCAAGTGCCGTCGGGCGCAAAAGCCTCAGGAGTATGGACTGCTGAGCTTGATATCGCCCACCTCCAATATGGTGGAGCGGTTTTTCAGTCTCGCCCGTGTCACGTTTGGACACGAGCGGCATTCACTGAGCCCGTACACGCTCGAAATGGTTTTGTTCTTGCGAGTTAACAAGAAATATTGGGACGTTCGCACGGTCGAGCAGTGTACGTAGGTTGTCGGTAGCTCAGGAATTTTAGCAAGCGTTGTTTACAATGGGCGAACAGACAGCATTTTCATTTACCCTGGTATTGCAGTTATTTATTGCGCAGCATGGTGTATTTTATCTACTTACTGTGTCGTGCTGGCAGCTTCGAAAAGTATTTTATTGCGTCACCAAACTGCAATCGGTTCCCAATACGATATTCGGCAGCCCTGGTCGTTAGGGTCTTGCGTGTTTGTACGGACGCGATAGGTGACGGATTGTTCCTTCTGGTTGCCGTCGATGGATTTGATGATTGTCTTGAGCGGTAACGACGACATAGTGAAGCTGGAGCGGACGGATTGAGCTCAATATGCCGTATGCTTTACTTGGAAAGTTGGAGACTGATGAATTAGCAAGTTTTAGAACTACTCGTAAGCCAACCTAGATGCACACCACTAGCTAACGCCTCAAATCCCATCATTGAGTTCTCTGGATATTTATATCCAGAATTTTAGGGGCGATCGGAAAGCGTCGACGATCCTGT